AAATAAAGAATTTAGAATTTGAACCCCCACTGTTCTGCGGATGTCGTAAGAGGCGACTAAGAGAGAAATATACGAACATCAGACCTTCACTGGTTTGGTTTGATTGGAGGCCAAACTGTAGGTCCTATATAGGAGTTCCAGTAGTAGGAAAGAGTAATGGGATCAGTATGTTTATTAATTTGAGAGATAAAACAGAGGGGTATCCATCTATCTATAATAGCGAAAGGTCACTGACTGACTCACTCATCACGAAAACTCAGAAACTACAAGTGGTAGGAGTCTCAAATATTGCATGGGGCTTCTTTTTAGAACGTAGGTGCTCACTAAGACGGGATTTTGCAAAATTCAACCGCTAAGGGGGTAAAACGGGATCCACGCGTACGAAGTCGCGGGCGGCCGTTAGTAATAACATATTTATGGCGCATAGTATCCGCAGACAAGATGTAGTATAAGCAATAGTAGGCAATATAAACAAAATATAAATGAATGCAAATGCATTAAGCTAACATTTGACAGGTTGTGCAACCGTATCCTTCAAATACTAGACCTATCTAACAAGAATGTTGGCTGTCTGTTTGTGTGCCTCATAATAACTGTTTTCATAACTTTTCCTTTCATTTGCATAAACATTTTGACAGCATACGGGTTTTCTAAACTATAGCATAGATAGCAGGTTCACCCGCGGAATTTTGTCATATCTGTACAAATAAATATATTCAGGTATCGGTTTTTATGTCAATTAACAGTTTTTTACTAGTGTACAGGTTGCTGATTAATTTCGTTGCGGGTCCAATGACAGTTTAACTTTCCCCTGGGACAAACTTGATCTTCACTGGTTGGTTTTTTATTGGCAATCAAGCTGTAGATCCTGGCTACACAGAAGTTGCAGCGGTGGGAAAGAGAGGTGGGAATGTCATGTAGTGCATAGGTGCGACTACATATTTTTTTACACCAGAAAATTGATTTTTACAGATAATCTCTACTGGTCTGGAATAGGACCACTCCCACTCTTCCTATGGGTGTCGTAAAAGGCGACTTAGGGAAAAAATGTGCACACATCAGACCTTCCCAACCCTTCTGTCCAGCGATGGGAGTGCAGGCCAAGTTCCTCGTAATTAGAGAGGATTGTGCTCCTTCTGCAGTGTAGACTAAGCATCTAATGATGATGAAAGAACGAAAGAAAGAAACATTTATTACGATGAACATCACTTAGTTAAGGACAAAATAAATAATGATGATGGACTTTCACTTCTACTGGTCATAATAGTGTACTTACTTAGTGGTATAAAGCTGATTACTCAGTTATTTACTTATACAATTGCCTAAGAATATACCTATGCGAATAATCATACTAGGCTTTCGCAAACAAATAAGAGGTGCAGATCTTTGCCCTATTCAAAATTGTGCAAATAAACATTTGAATTGAAGTACAAAATGCGGTATTTCAAGGATATATTTAAACCTTACGGCATATTCCACACAAACACAAAATGGTCGATGAAGTCAACGCACTTGCGATTATCGTAAAATAATAAAAAACTAAAGACTCGGTCTTGGAGATCCTTGTAACTAAAAAGCAATTCTTAAAACTCATCCTTTCTTTCCTTCTTCAACTATTCTCAGCTACCTATCTTCTAATCTTTTTGTAGACAATTTTATTGCATTTCTTTCATTTTAATGAAGCATAATAAATTGAACCCCCTTTGTGCATCTTTTGTTAAAATTGTTTTTTTTCCAATTAAATAAAAAAACTTGTTGAGTTAACTCCATTATGATATCCGAAGAAGAGAATCGAAGCAAATCGCCGGCGTATAATACGGAACCCTGTAGTATATCTCCTTTGCCACTTATCATATTTTTATATTGCTTACAAAAAATATACAATCCTTAGACCTTAGGTTTTATATCCTATGCTCATGACCTTAATGGAATCAATAAAACAATAAAAAATGTTAACTCCATTAGGCCCTGTTTCCATTAGGTGGGATCCGACTCGGTTAAAAATCGGATATCGGAAGTAAGGTGTTTACATCTACCGGACAGATGGAAACTCGACCCGGTTTCCACACAAACTTCCGAACTAGCGACCACCCGCGACTTCGTACGCGTGGATCCCGTTTTACCCCCTTAGGGGTTGGATTTTGCAAAATTCCGTCTTAGTGAGCACCTACGTTCTAAAAGGAACCCCCAGGCAAAATTTGAGAGTGCACTTGCAGTTTCTGAGATTTCGTGATGAGAGTCAGTCAGTGACCTATCGCTTTTATAGATAGGTACATTCTTAGCCGGTGGTTTACGTACGGAAATACTCGAACATCTCACGTTGCGGTTGTGGTTTTCTTCTTTTCACTTTTTTTCTTTTCACGTTGTGGTTTGATTTCCAATGTAGGCAAATGAACCCGGTCTTATACTTTATATACCTACATTTTATTAATGTAAAAAAAATCACTAGCCTTTGCCCACAATTTGTGTTCAACTTTGGACACCGTTTCATCCCCTTAGGGAGTAAACTTTTGAAAATCCTTTCTTTGCCAACAACATAACTCAACGCAATTTAACGATTGCCTTACATTATACCTACCTACAGAAGACAATATTTTCAGATCCAAATAAACTTAGTAAATATACAAATTAATAAATTACAATCCACATAAACGTTCAACAAGCTAACAGTTTTATCATTTAGCATGTCTCTGATCTGCATGTTCCCACACATGACAATTAATTGTAGCCTTGATGTAAATGTCGATTAAGTAATTCAACGGGTGTATACTAACTAGATAGTGTCAGTTTGAGCTATACCTATACGAATAAATCATAAACATACGTTCACACTGATGCAAACCTCACGCTTGTAAAAATAAATTTTACCAGCTTTTACTTTTGGATTTTTAAATTGTACATGTCACAAACAAACTTTATCGCACGCGTCCCTGTTTCAAAAATCGGGATTATAATACAGGGTGGAAACGATAAGTGATCTCACTCGATTATTTCTAAACTAACAAGATATCGAAAAACCGGTTACTGATCCTGAAAGTGCTTTACAAGCTCTTTCAAACGGTGCCAATAATAGGTTACAGAATAAATTGGAACTATTCGAAAATTCTATGTTTCTAGCTTCCTAGTATAAACTATTCTATAACAGAACTATGAAATTTCATCAAAATAGTTTTAGTTGTCTAGAGAGAGATGAATGCGTAATAGACAAACGGTTATTTTCGCATTTATGATAGTACTAGCTTTCCGCCCGCGGCTTCGCCCGAGTGGAATTTTTCGGGTTTTTATATAACCTATGACACTCAGCAATAATGTGGCTTTCTATTGGTGAAAGAATTTTTAAAATCGGTTCAGTAGATCCCGAGATTACCCCTTACAATTTAACAAATAAACAAACACACAAACTTCACCTCTTTATAATATTAGTATAGATTAGTAGGGAAGTATAGTATCGACAAGTGCACGTGTGACGTCCACTTACAATGTGGACAGATGACCTTATAAAGGTAGCAGCAAGGTCCATCCAGCAGTGCGCTGGATTTCGTTAGGAGGAAATTGACAGTTTGATATTAACTAAAATTAATATTTACTTAACTAATAATTTTATTTTTCCTGTTCGTTTTTCCCAATTTAGGTAGGTATTATTAAGGTCCAATTATTTTCATATCTTTATTGATATTTATAACTAATCATTAGAGAGGTATTTTGATTTGATTTATATGATTTGATTACCTATAATAAAATATGAAAAACGTCTAAGAAAACTTTTTTCATGTAGCCATTATCACACGCTTATAAAGCCCGTTTTCCACCAAAGTGTAGCCGATACATGAGCGAGCAGAGCTGCGAAGAGATTTGTGGCATCTTCATAATAAATATTGCACTATAGTGGGACAGAGCAGAGCAAAACAACAAGAGAAGAAGTCTCCGGACAAGGACATCTCTGATCGCTCCGCTTTGGTGGAAATAACCTGCCACTATTCCAGTCGTTCTCGCACTCGTCTCGCTTCCGCCTTAGAGGATAACTGACCTAATTCGTTGAGGCTACACACATTATTTTAATTTTTAAACCATTCGCCGACAGTGCAGCCGCACCTTAACGCAAGGTCAAATGTTAAATATCTATGTCAACACCTAATTGTGTCTCGAATCTCGATCTTAAGAGTTGTGACATATCTTAAGACCATTGACACGGTGGTAGGGGTTAAAGGTCAAAACAGAAGTTAATTGCTACAAGCATTTCAATCTAGATTCATACTTGATGAAGACAAAGGTCAGCTCCTTCTTAATTGGGCAGTTAACACCTTTACCAATAATTCCAAAAAAATAAAACACTTCACTAACGCCTTGAAAACGGATTTAGTTTTGCTTTAGATTTTTAGTGACTTCAGCATCCGATTTTTTTGCAAGTCACATAATTAAAGGATGTTAAAGAGTAACAACAACAAGAACAGCTTTGTAACTAATAGCTGAATGACTTTGCCAACTAGTGACATCAAGGGTTCCATTTGTCATACATTTGCCCTCAAGTATTGTCTTTTTATATGGGCAATGACGTTATGACAGCATATAAAATTAGGTCAATTTTACTAACTACATACGCGGGAGGTGCCTGGATGCAGGCGGCGCAGGACAATTCAGTCGTTATGGAAATCCTTGAGGGAGGCCTTTGAACAGCAGTGGACGTCATTTAACTGAAACGAACGATTTTAATACGAAAAAGCTATTTTTCTTCATTGACTAGGTACAAAGTAATTAACAAAACGTTTAATGTCTCAAGCTTTTCAATTTTATCACGCTAATTAGGTACAAACACATAATTCAAACTTGCACAAACAACAGCTAATTCGATCCTAAACGATTTATTATCCGAATTAGGGACAGTCAAGTGAAACAAATCGATTGACTCGCACGCTAGTCCATATAAACCCTTGGATCGTGATTAGAGGTTAGGTAATCAGTTAAATGATAGTCATTGTGAGTGAGTCCGACGTGAGAAGTCCATTGTGGATAGCATCGGTTTGCGTCGGAGTCGAACTTAGTTAGTACTATCTGTGAGTAGAATGTGGAAGGTTGTATCAGTGGTGTGCGCGGTTTTCGCAAGCGCGTGCGCAGCGCCGGCAGAAATACAAAGCTTCGCGTCTATAAACGAATTCGCGTTGCAACTACTCGAAAACACTTACGCGTACCAAGACAATTTTGGGAAGAAGAACATCGCTATATCACCTTTGTCAATATGGAGCATATTCTCTTTATTAGCCGAAGGATCATCTGGCGAAACGTTCTTGGAATTAATGAAAGGATTAAAACTGCCGAGAGACTTGAGAACGACTCAAGCTTTGCACAGAGCTGTGAATAATCAATTAAAGAGTAACAAAGAAGATGTCACGTTAATAGGACAATCAGCTATGTTCCCTGATTGCTCTTTGGAGGTGTTGCCCGAATTTTGTGAAGCAGCGACGTCTTATAACACTGACATTTATGTGGTGGACCCATCTAACACCACGAAACTAGCCCATGATATTAATTTGTACGTGTGCCTCGCTACGGATGGGCTAATCGCAAATGCTGTAACTCCTGAGCTCTTGACAGATTTAAGAATGGTCCTGGTGGATGCTCTTTACTTCAAAGCAAGCTGGACGTACCAATTCGACCCGTCCCGGACAAAAGAGAGCTCATTCTTCAACCTCCAAGGGAAGAACATAGGATCAGTGAACATGATGTACCAAAAAGCACCGCATAATATTGCGTATCCCGAACAAATTGAGGCCCAAGTTTTGGAAATGACTTACGGGAAGAACGGGCAGTATTCGATGATGATTTTATTACCTTTCAACGGGGTTCCTACTAACAAAGTTTTGAAGAATTTGGCTACCAAACCCATGGATTGGATCGCTGAGTTAAGGGAAACTGGCAGTGGCACTGACGTGGATTGTTTTATCCCCCGTCTTAAATTATCGACTCGTCAGGATATGATAACTCCGTTGCAGTACTCTGGTATAGTTTCTATATTTGATTCCAAGAAATCCCAGCTGCCTGGTGTAGCAGACAGTCCTTTGTACGTCACAAAGACGATTCAGAATGTTGAGATCGAAGTCACGGAGGAAGGGACTACGGCAGCAGCGTCAACCGTTGTAGGTTTGGAAAATCGCATTCTAGCGCAAAGGTTTGAAGCGAATAGGGAATTCATATTTTTAATAATGGAGAGAAGTTCAAATGTAATATTATTCGCTGGTGTCTACGGTGAGCCATCTTTAGATTGATTGGTTTTGAATATTTGGAATCTCGAGACGATGTTTTCTGTGAAGTTGACTAATTGTATTATGAAAATAAAAACAGAAACAAAATAAAATGGACACGCTATTTTGTTTCTAGATTTTATTTCACATGTAGATTAATTTTATTATAACTTTAAGCAACATTCCTGCCACTTAGAAACATTAATAATTTTTGTTTGTATCTACGAGTATAAATCTTTAGAAAGGATTCGAAATTGTTTCTTTTTATTTAATGTCTCTACATGTGTTCGTTTTATAAGTACTAAAACAAATGTAAGTTATGGTTGTGTTTCAATTGTCATTGCGATTAATTATGGTCAAGTCAAGATTACGCATTTCAGATAGATACATAATTATTACCTATCTTCAAGACGAGTATGGACAATGACAACACTTAATGATTTACTAATTAATTTTGTAGCTAAATAGCACCTGAGGCTGGGTTGCACCATCTTACTTTAACTTTGACAAACGTCAGAAAACTGTCAAACTCCATACAAAAAGCACCGGTTATCGTTATAGTTACGGTCAAAGTTGGTGGTGCATCTCAGCCTAAGTAGGTATTAATTCTACACAAAATGCCAGTATTTAGCTAATATGCGGTCTTCTGTACCACGATAGATTGGGTTCTGCGATAATGTCATCTATCTAGTTGTCATAAGAACCTTTTTTAAACTTAAAAGTTATATTATTTCTTTGTGTTCATGACTGTACAAATTAAAGTTACCATTATTATGTATATTTTTATTGTTTTCGTTCGCGAATTGTTAATATGTGATTGGCCAGTTATAGGATGTAATGTATGAATTTTTTGTACTGAAATAAAAACGTGTTTTAAATTATGTGTTTTTTAATTCATTCATTATTGTCGAGCGTGAGAAAAGTTCCTTGATATAAATGTTGTAGGCTGTTTATAATTTCATAAGTTTCTAATTAAAATAGTTAGTGACTGTTTGTATGCCAAATTATTTAGGTATCTCCAACCGTTTTGAACATCCACCTAAGTACAAGGTGGACCGACGACATCGTAAAGGTAGCAGGGAAGCGCTGGACGCAGGCCGCTACCAATCGATCAACGTGGAAAGCATTAGAGGAGGCCTATGTTCAGCAGTGGACGTCCTATGGCTAAAATGATGATGATGATGAACCGTTTTGAATCTGCAAAAACTTATTTGCCATTTTGAAATGGTTGGTAGCTAAAAATAATAATCATACAGCTTCCTTGTAAATAAATTCATACATTAAGGGAGTTTATTAGTATTTTGTAATCCTACAACTAAAATAGGTTCAACAGTGTGTAACCAAACCAAGAATTTTCATGACCAAAAATTACTCTGAATCTTGAGGTGTCTGGTTCGATTCCTAAAAAAGCATTGTAGACATAAATAAATAATATCCTTTGACATGTAACACTGCGCCTCTAGTCCCAAACTAAGCAAATCTTGTACCTATTATGGGTACTAGACAGCGGATATAAACAACTTATACTTTTTTTGTAAATAACATACACATAGAAAACACTCTCATCATACATAATAAACATCACAGTGAATAGATAGATTAAGTAATGAAGAAGCAATTAATTTTTCAGTATTTATTTATGTGTTTATTATCCTTGAATCCCTTCAAGACAGCCTTGTAGTACATCGGTGTCTATTTACTACACTACAACTACCACTTTGTCCTAGGTCGTCAAAGATTATGTAACAGTGGTATTATTTACAACTAACGACATAACTGTTTAATTGCCCCTATTGTAGCATTTTTTATACAGTTTGCTAGCGTAAACACTTTGCAACATGATATCATAGCGGTGGCAAAAAGATGAACCGTTGGTAAAGGAATGGGAGTCAGTAGGTTTACTACTTAGTATGATCAGATAGATAAATGGATAATATTGGAAGATGGTATATGCTATGCTAGGAGTTTTCATAATGAGGAGATCCGCAGGAAAACCAGTGACCAACATAGCCCGCAGAAATGCTCAGTGAACGGGGCACATAGCTCGTCGTAGAGCTGACGGCCGCTGGGGCAGAAAATTAAATGTTCTCGCGACCACGGGCCGGAAGACGTAGTGTAGGCAGGCCTCCCACTAGGTGGACTAAAGATCTTGTGAAGGTCTCGGGAATTAAGTAGGTACTTGGATACGGGCAACACAGGATCGGTTGTTGTGGAGATCCTTGGGAGAGACCTTTGCCCAGCAGTGGACGTCATGTGGCTGAAACGACGACCACGATAGCAGTTTAGGATGTCCAGTCGAGTAGCTTTTTAATACCTGTCCATTAATCAAAATGGGAAGTCGAACCTTACCTTCGAACTTCTCCTATGTTTTTCTGATTAATTTCGTTGCGGGTTCAATGACAGACTTGACCATTACTGATTGGGTTTCTATTGACCGTCAAGCTGTAGATCCTGGCTACACAGGAGTTGCAGCGGTGGAAACGAGAAGTGGAAATAGTCCCGTACTTATCAGTTTATTGATCTAGAAAACCGATACCCCTTATAACTTTTAAAAGTAAGTTTACCTACTGAACAAATTTCAATTATAATCAAGTCGTGACCAACCGTTTGAATTTTAAAACCAAATTCCGTAAATTATCAAGTCTATAGCCGGATCCGATTTTTTAACTAAAATAATTGTTTAATTATACGTCTGTAATATTCAAATTTAAAAATTAAATATTATCATAGTTTTTTGTGTGCTAATATTTCCTAATACAGCACGTCAAACTAAACACTGTGTACTAAGTCTAGCGCTAAACTCTGTCAGTGTCTAATCTAAGGTATAGGAGCGGCACGTAGTAAATAATACCTATTTATTAACATTTGTGGTCGCTTACTATGGGCCTCATAAGAAGGCTCAAGGTCACCCAAAGGGCGATGGAGCGTGCTATGCTCGGAGTTTCCCTGCGTGATCGAATCAGAAATGAGGAGATCCGCAGGAAAACCAAAGTAACCGACATAGCTCGCAGAATTGCTAAAATCAAGTGGCAGTGGGCGGGGCACATAGCTCGTAGAGACGATGGCCGTTGGGGCAGGAAAGTTCTCGAGTGGCGACCACGGGATGGAAGACGTAGCGTGGGCAGGCCTCCTACTAGGTGGACCGACGATCTGGTAAAGGTCGCGGGAAGAGCCTGGATGCGGGCAGCGCAGGACCGTTCATTGTGGAAAACCTTGGGGGAGGCCCTTGTCCAGCAGTGGACGTCATTTGGCTGAAAAGAAGAAGAAAGAAGAAGATTAACATTTATTTGAAATTATAATATTATGTAGTTATTGTTATTAACATGATAAGTAAAACATAATATTTACCGTAAACAAGGATAATTACAATCTATCTAGGGACTTATTTTCCGTTGTTCATGTCGCTAAAATTTATTAGAATCAACAAATAAACTTTTTTCAAAGACATTACACATTTCCACACAAATACAATCATTTAAATACTTAGATGCTGGGTGAAAAACCCGGGAGGGCGTGGTCATTAGCGCTCTTTGAGCTTCCTTACATACATTATGGACTATTCCCAACTCTCGTTCCCAACGCTGCAACCCCTGTGTAGCCAGGATCTACAGCTTGACCGCCAATAACAACCCAACCAGTGAAGGTCAAGTTTGTCCCAGGGGAAAGTTAAGCTGTCATTGGACCCGCAACGAAAACCTTAACCATTTGATGATACAATAGCTACACATTCGTTTCAGCCTAATGCCGTCCACTGCTGGACAAAGGCTTCCCCCAAAGATTTTCACAACGACCGGTCATCCAGGTGCTTCCCGCGACCTTCACCAGATCGTCGGTCCCACACTCAGTTTACTACACATAGTGTAACAATTTCTCATGGCATTTTTTGCAGGATCACGCATTTTGCCATGAACTCGTGTTACGGTCACGACAATTTTGTGATCGTTCAATACAATCGATGAATGAAAACAAAAAATACTACCTCGTAGATACACATTATCATGGCGATCCAGTGGTGTGAAATAATATTCATCATCATCATCATCTCAGCCATAGGACGTCCACTGCTGAACATAGGCCAACAACCAATGTGTGTTACCAGTGATGACTTAAGGTTCAGAAACGTGACCTCTCATTTTAGGCCTGATACAGATGCCACCGATTGATTTCATAGAAATGTGCCTGCTACTTTAACCATGCACATGAAAACAATACACATCGCACGTCAATATTTATTTAACTATTGTAAACCCTCGAAAAAGGCTGACAAAGGTAATTGAGTTTTTTGCGCTGCTTCTTCTCAGCACTGGACCATTTATTGTCTCGAAGCAGTGCTAACAGTAATACTGGGACGTGTAAAAGCGCTTTGCAAAAGCCTGCTTATTTGCAGAAGAAGAAAAAAAGATTTGTCAGTTTTTACATCCAAATGAGTGAAATGTTACATGTTTGCAGCATAAGTTATATTGTTAACGCTATATTACTCGTACAACGGAACTACCTAGTTCTGTAAATCCATAAGATTGATAGCGGACAATTAAACTATTAAACTATCCCGAATAGGTGTGCGAAACTATCAAGATGCCACAATTCGCTCGTAAATTTACACCAAACAAAGTGTTAGTTCCCATAGTTAAACAACTATCTGGAAGACAATCATATAACTTCTCCCATGAACATAGTTACTGTAACAAGTGCCTTATCTTTTGGTGAAGGCCCTGTACTACATTTATTACGATCTAATAAGGGCTCGGTGGTACGAATTTTATGATCATTATGAAACGACACTGAGTTAAGAAATTCTTAAGATCTAAGTTTATAATTGCTCGAAATGTTGTTCGACCAATCATTTATGCTTGATTTTATATTGACTTCATCATAGTCCCTTATACCTTTTAGAAACTCGAGCTTTAATATTAGATTAACTTATTAAAAAAATCCAGTGCCAAATTAATTGTGTGGGACATACACTCACTAAACAGGCTGATGACCATAAAATGTTTCACCAATCGTCCAAATTAATGTTTCAGCCATATTTAAAACTTATAAGAAACTCATAATACTTATTTTATTTTTTCAAGTAAACTTTTAAAAACACTTTTACACGTCCCAGTACTACCTACCACAGCTTCGGGACAATAAATGGGCCAGTGCTGAGAAGAAGCAGCGCAAGACACTCAGCCACTATTGTCAGCCTCTTTTTCAAGGGTTTTGGGCATTTGGGCAATTAAAACTGCCAGTAAGTCAGAAGACGAACCAGAAATTCTATGGGAACCTCGCACAAAATGACGTCACACCAAACAAAACCGTAATAAGACGAGTGCATCCTGAATTGAATGATTTAAATTGCAAAACCATTAACCTTGGTGTTGGACCATGTTCCCTGA